ATGATGGTGGATTATCAATATCTTTACTAGTTTACGAGATCTGTTCGATATCGAATAAAAGAAATAATCTGTACATTATTTGTAGATATAGTTTCAAGGACAGAGTTCTTCTCCTTTAGATTAGCTACTTTTTTTTTGAATAATTTTTTTCTGCTAAAATGTGAACGGTGATTTTAAGAAGTCAAGTTTAATTAGAATTACATCACTTTACGCCTTAACAATGTTCTCTCTCTCTCTCTCTCTCTCTCTCTCTCTCTCTCTCTCTCTCTCTCTCTCTATCTATCTGTTTTAGCTATAACACATATACGTACATTGGTAACTCCAGAGACATGTTTTCTCTAGAGTCAGGGATTACTAGTACTGTTTGTGTGTCACATGCATCTCAACAGTATCTCTACAGTATCAAATTAGACTGCAGATCTAAGGGTCTTCGCAATGATCCGTTTCAACAGTTGCTATGGAAATAATAAAAAAAATAGTACATTCGATTTTCCGACATCCTATCAGTGGCGTAGCTAGGGTTAGAATGGAGGGCTCAAATTCAAAAGTCCCCCACGGGCCCCCACTTGAGGGGTCCCCCAAATGAATGTTGCAATTTTTAAAAAAATTAAATATTACGCCTCTGCCGTGTAATCTTCATATTCGCGTGTAGTCAAAAATAGACAGCATTGATTTAGTTAGATGATGTTATAGATGTCTTTGCTTCACATACATGAGGCGATTTAAAATGAGATTTGACACTTGTGCATTATCTCGCCAATAAACAACGCTATAAAAGATTAAAAGAATCTTAATGATTTTTTTAAATTAATTTACTTATATACTATACCAATTGGAATTGAAACTTATATAGGCCAATTCGTTAAGTACATTATCTAATGTCATAATGTCTTATGTCAAAATGCAAGGGCCCTTTAAAAGGTCAAGCCCCCGGCCCCCAAATCCCTAGCTACACCACTGCCTCCTATTAAATGTATTTTAGAGAATGTAAGTGCGTGTTTCTGATGTACATCAATGGGTATAGGGTAGATGTCTTCGTTGTAGAATGAAGAGATTTTGATAAAACTTTATTGTGGTTTGGCGTAATTCAATTGAATTAAAAAAGAACTGTCAGGAAAGTTGAATGGGGAGTCTTGAGACGTGAGACAGAAAAGACATGTAGATGTACTGAGCTAGACTTTGTTTAAACATCATTTCACTTATTGCTTCATACATCTACTTTTATGTTGGGATCTGGGAATATTGTACAAGTACACTTTGTTGAGAAGTACAATATGTTCAAAAGTACACTTTGTTGAGAAGTACAATATGTTCACAAGTACAATTTGTTGAGAAGTACAAAATGTTCAAAAGAGCAAGTGCAAAAGTTGTATTCGTATTCTTTACTTGAATAGTCTACATGAACATTAGGGATCGGTGGATACATATCAAGTGATCTATGACTTTCTTTGTTTTTTTCCTGCGTTATTTGAAAGTATCTAACATATTATTATACTAATGCAGGGGTGGGAAAATTACGGCCACGGGCCACATGCGGCCCGCCATAGTGTTTCATGCGGCCCGCGTACACCTACAGAATTCAGATGTACCCACACATTAAACATGTAAAAAAGGGAAAAAAATAAAATTAAGTAATTTTACACATCTTCTTATCACTTATGATGAAGAGGCTAAAGGAACATTGTCTCTGCATGTCATTCTAAAAAGTTTACAGCAAATGAAGATTATGCTTGTTTGCAATATTTCTAAACATTTAGTCAAAGACATAAACTCAGGCCAGTATTTATTCAATACTATGAAGAACTGTGTTGAAAGAGTTAGGTTGGCTTGGAGCAAGATGGCTAGTGTAACAACTGATGGACCCCGTGCTTTGGCTTTTTAAAAATAAATTAAAGAACAATATCCCAACTATAAACTTTACATATGAAAGTTTGCACAAAGCTGCATTTAATATGAAACATGTTATTGACCCAATTATCAGCGATCAAACTTATCAGAGATAGGGAACTTTACCACAGGCAGTTCCGAGAATTACTTGAAGATGTGGAAACAAAACATTCCGAGGTTCCTTACCAAAGTAGTGTCCGGTATTGAGAAGAAAATGGGATCTCAAGGAAGAAATCGTTTTGTTCCTTGAGGGACATTTACTGTGACTTTGTTACTAATATTTCTAATGAAAAGTGAAGATAGACTTCATGCTTTTCATCCTGGATATTTCAACGGGTTGTTTGCATGTATGTGCATCTTTTCATAGGTCCCGCACTAATTCTAGCTGTAAATTAAAAATTTTACAGGAGATCATGAAAATCTCCTGAAATTATTAAAGTATCCTCAAAAACACATAAAATAAAAAAGCAACCCAAAAAATAGACGAACTAGTCATTTTTTGGGTTGCCATTCAATGCGGAAAACGCCAATCCTACTAGCGATTAAAAAAAAAAAACGGCATTGTCAGCTTTCATTTAATAAAAATTTAATAATGGGGCGAATTTTAACTAAAACAGGAAGATCCAATACTTTAGTTACTTTAATAGTCACTGGCATATACATATAGATCTAAATCTTGATATTTAAAAAAAAATTTTAAGTGATATTTTGCGAGTCGATAGTAAATCTAAAAGGCAGATCTGAATGTTTATCGGCTTTTTTGTTGGAAAACTACTTTTAATTGTAGATGGCTCGTAAAGTTAATTTGACGACCGTGATTTTGCAAGTATGAATAAAATGCAAAGACGAATTTGTTTTCTAACAAAAAATCGTAATTTTCACTTATTATCTTTATCCCTACCCAGACTAGGCCCCGCGCAATTCGTTTCGAATAGGGCCCCGCAATCTGTAAGGCCGTCCCTGGGTGCCAGAAGCTGTATTTCTACATTTAAAAAAAAACTTGATGCTAAACTTTCACATTATTTGGTTCCACATATATCTGTGAAAAAGAATGTTTGAAAATAAAGGTAAGAACAAGTCTATGCTGACTGGCTGTAATTTGACAGCAGCCATAAGGATAAGAACTACTAAGCTAGTTCCACCACAGTTCCGGAACATTCTGCACGAGTGTAAAATTAAATATTTTACAATAAGTTCAACATTATAACCAAATTGTTGTGATAAATTCTTGTAATGTGTAAAGACAATAACAAAATTTAAAAATATTCGTAAAATTAGTTTCAGAAATTGCTAAATCTTGTAATTCCTTAATTGGTAGTGTAAATATGTAATACAGTATACATATAAATTACAAGACACCACATTTTCTAAGTTGCAAATACATGTTATATGCTGCCCCCCATTCCTAAAAATTTTTTAATGCGGCCCTCGATAGAAAAAGGTTGCCCACCCCTGTACTAATGTTTAGATGTCTGTTTGATTTTTTTTTTTGTTTTTTTTATCCTAAGATCTGGATTCTATTTTTGTATTCTAGTCTCTAGATCTATAATCATATAATAATCAATTTAATGCTTTATCTATAATACATCTAGAGTTTAGTTTGTACACAAATGTACTGTATGGTTGACTGAAGACAGAGCTAGTCTAGTAAACAAATGTACCGTCAAGATAGACCTAGGTCTAGTACACTCCGAAATAACAATGCAACGTGAAATTAAACATCAGAACAAATACTCGGTTGATGATAGAATCTAGTTTTAAAAATGAAAGTTATTTTGTTATTTCCAAGAAGGAAGTCTCACGGTCAATAAAGCTGCGCGCTGGTGAAAGCACGTACCTTCACAATCTCTCCATATTAATGCTGCGTAAATAACACAGAAATATTCATCCTAGTAGATTATGTAGATTTTGATACATTGAGGCATGTATATAAATAGCAAGCATGATTTTTTTTTGGTGTATCCGGTGTACAGAATACAAAAGTATTGATGAGAGAAGTTATTTTATAAAACAAATATAATTAAGCGCACTTTTGAGGACTGTGGTAAATTTAAAAATCTAAAATGTTTTTATTGCTGCACACAATAATTTTATGGCATTGTTAATGTTGTCCATTTATTTCTTAATATCTCACAAGCTTTCATGTTATTTTTACGTTTTACTTCAAAGTTTCATTATGTCGCCACCACATGTCTTCATATCGCCCTCTCTTCTTGTCTTTTCAGTGTACTTTATAACTTAATTAAAGAACGTAAACTGGAAGTAGAAGAGCAGGTTACTGTGATTAATTTTGAGTGTGGAAATCTAAAATTGAGACTCACTCAGAGTTTGACAGTTGTCATTGTTAAAAAGAAAACGTGAACAGTCTAAGGCGTTTGTTTTGTGTCATATTTACCGAGTTTACCGCAGAGAAATAAAGTTAAAAATTGAAAAAAGTTGTCAAACTTTCACTGCCTGAAGTGAATCTACAAGTGAATCTGCTGGTGAGTCTACTATTGAATCTACAAGTGAATCTGCAGTTACAAGTTATTCAGTAAATCATGATCTTTATTGGTGTCTTTTGGTTTGCTCAATACCTTGGGAGAGGACCCCAAGGAAAAAATTAATCTCGGAAAGGTGATGGGTGCCATCAAGACCTATTATACCCAATGAAATGCAACGGCAATGTCGACTGTTTCTTTGTCCAATGGTTAGTGGGATTTCATGTGGTCAGCACAATGACCAATAGTCTTTACTTTTTCCTAGTAATGTCAGGTACCCATTAGAGCTAGTTAAAAGCGCCCAAGGATTAAAAAAAAAAAAAAATTCCTGGTTTTACAAGGATTCGAACCTGAGACCACCGGTTCTGAGATTTGAAATACTGCCTCTCAGCCATCGCGTCTCCAAATACCATATTAGCTATTTACAAGATTGTAACCAGGAAATGATCGTCGTACTAGATAACAGTTTGAAAATTGATCCTATTCTTTCAATGTTCATGCTGGTTAACATTAAATGCGATTCTAAAGTAGACATATAATCCATGCAGCCAGCAATGCTCTTCTGTATATTATTTAACAAGTGATTTATTTCATCATATAATAACTCCCCTTATAAAAGAATAATGGACACACTTTGATATTTCCAAGTAAAATTTTATTACTGAAAAAGATATTCTAATCATATTTGGTGCAGGTGTATTTAATATCAAACCATTTTACAAGAATACAGAAAAAAGAACGAAAGAAAAAGAAATAAGGTTAACCAAAATTATAATTGGAATCTTTATGTCAAATCCAGAGGCTGTATTTTATTGAAGTACAATTGCATGCAGTTTATAACTAATATCCTCTGTTGGGCTCACATGCTCTGGCACAAGCCTGCTGGCTCTGGAAGATGTTTCTCTGGGGTGTGTAGCTGTCCACACATCTACTCAAGACGCTGACCTTCTTGCAGGAGTTTGACCTGTGGTCATATGTCCAGGCGTACACGTTGTAGGTGGCGTCGTAACTGTTGGCGATGCAGGAAGCGTCAATGTGACCACAGTTGTCTGAAACAATTTAAACAGAGTAGATGTAAGGTCAAGAACTAAAATGTGTAAAAGACATTGATTAAATAATTACAAAGAAGAAAAACCTATAATATAGTCTTGTTTATCTATGAATGATATATCTATATTTAGCGATTCTCACTGCGCATGCTCTTTGACCCACTTTGTCTGCATATTTAAAGCAATTGTTTTAATTGTTTGCTTTTTCTTCATCCTTTCTCCCAACATTAATATCTATATAGGCTAGTTGCTGCGCTATTAATAGGCAAAGGGAGTCCACCCATGCAACAAGAGGACACACACTGTACTTTATGTAATAACACACAATAGAATTTGATTTCAATAATACATTCACAGTAGAAGACTTAACTCTTTCTCTCCTAACTGATGATACCAGCGTTGATTCCACCAGAATGTAAATAATTACATATTAGCTCGTGTCATCTATTTATAGTTTTATCAAAATCGATTAGAAATCGAAAATAATCAACATATCAAGTTCCCAAACATATTTTACTCCAGACTGTACATAAGGAGAGAGGACATCAAAGTTAAAAACAATAATAATATTTGTACTGATTTAAAGGTACAGGGCCATAACATTCCTAAATCAGGGTTTGCTTCTAAATCAAGAGAAAGTAAGGAATAATAAATGTGTTTATTTTGTGAACTTATATTTTCATGTTCGTAGTATTTACTCTGATTATCTTCCTTGTTCATTAAAGTGATGCCCCTTAGATGAAGAAAGGGTACTTACTGTGTCCTGGGAAGTTGTAACCATTGCAGTTACATTGGTCTACAAAGTAGTTGTTGTGATTGCTCTGGTAAGCGTTGTTACATCGGTCGTAGCAGTAGGCGTGGTCTCTGTAAGAGAGGGTGAGAACGTGGTGTAAGACGTTTTGAACGTCGATAGTAGAGAGAGACGGGGAGAGACAGAGACAGAGAGAGGCAAAGAAAGATAGAGACCGATAGAGAGAGAGAAGACAGACAGACAGAGATAGAGAGACAGAGGGAGAGAGAGAGAGAAACAGTGAGTGACAGGGAGACAGGGAGAGAGACAGACAGAGACAGAGAAAGAGACAGTATGAGAGAGAGACAGAGACAGTGAGAGATAAGACAGTGAGAGAGAAGAGAGAGAAGACAGAGAGAGAGAGAAGACAGAGAGAGAGAGAAGACAGTGAGAGAGTGAGACACAGAGAGACAGAGAGAAACAGAAAGAAAGAGAAAAGAGAGAGAAAGCAAGAGAACGATGTAGAAATAGAGAAGTGCAGGAAAGAGAAGAAAGAGAGAGAGAAAACAAGAGAAAGAGAAGAAAGAGAGAGAGAAAACAAGAGAAAGAGAAGAAAGAGAGAGAGAAAACAAGAGAAAGAGAAGAAAGAGAGAGAGAAAACAAGAGAAAGAGAAGAAAGAGAGAACGAAAGAAAACAAGAGAAGCAAATGACAAAGAAAGCTGCGAGCAAAAGAGAAACAAAAAGATCCACCATTTTACTTGCAACTCAAAAGTCTTCTTTAAAAAAAATAGAAATGTCATTTTTTTGTAAAAAGCTTTAAAACATAACAAACAATATTACAGTGAAACGTGATTTTTTAAAAAATTATTCTTATATGTACAAAGTACTTTTGTACACAAGACCCCAAATCAATCTAATATATTTCTTTGTTCAAAGCCATCACATAAGTTACATAGCCTACATAGAAGTAAATACTGTGCTGCACTTACCTATAGCCACCAATATGGCCATGTCCCTAGAAAAAAAGAAAGGAAGTTATCCAGTTATTTACTCCTATGAAATTGCCTATATTATATTGCTTGAAGATTCATATCATATTACTTTTTTATTTCACGTCATTATTTAGTAGCAAGACAAAGCTGATTAGCTCTATACTTTCTGACGTGTGTTACATTTAGATTTAAATCTCGAACGAAAATTGATACACGAAACATATACAGACATTATGAGCAAGGTTCTTATTTTCTGACCCAAAATGTCTCAGTAGTTATTTACAGAGGTTGAACAGTAGCTGGTTACTGAGGTTGAACAGTAGCTAGTTATAGAGGTTGGACATTAGCTAGTTACAGAGGCTGAAAAGTAGCTAGTTACTGAGGTTGAACAGTCCTAGTTACGGAGGTTGAACTGTAGCTAGTTACAGGGGTTGAACAGTAGCTAGTTAGAGAGGTTGAACAGTAGCTAGTTACAGGGGTTAAACAATAGCTAGTTACAGTGGTTGAACAGTAGCTATTTACAGAGGTTGAACAGTCCTAGTTACAGAGGTTGAACGGTAGCTAGTTACAGAGGTTGAACAGTAGCTAGTTAGAGAGGTTGAACAGTAGCTAGTTACAGGGGTTAAACAATAGCTAGTTACAGTGGTTGAACAGTAGCTATTTACAGAGGCTGAACAGTCCTAGTTACAGAGGTTAAATAGTAGCTAGTTACAGGGATTAAACAATAGCTAGTTAGAGTGGTTGAACAGTATCTATTTACAGAGGTTGAACAGTCCTAGTTACAGAGGTTGAACAGTAGCTAGTTAAAGGGGTTAAACAATAGCTAGTTACAGGGGTTGAACAGTAGCTAGTTACAGGGGTTGAACAGTAGCTAGTTACAGAGGTTGAACAGTAGCTAGTTACAGGGGTTAAACAATAGCTAGTTACAGAGGTTGAATAGAGGATCTTTAAAAAACTATAAACAACTATTTGAATTCAAAGAGGAAATGAAAAGACTTCAGTGTTTCTTACCCCTTGCTGTAATGATGGTGCAGCTGAAAAAAAAAAAAAAAGTTTAAATTAAATTTATGTAAAAAAACAAACATTTAATTGTTTTATTTTTATTTTTTACTAAATAAATGTATTGCTGTCTAAACATTCTAAAATGTACCAACTGGTAAACCTTGAATTGCAAACAACTCACCAAGCACTAAGAAGAAAGCCAGAAATACGTAGAAAGTCATTTTATGCTGAAAAACAAAAATAACTAATGTTTGAGATGTTTCAACAGCATGAATTTCATTTCAAATAGAGTCTAGGTCAGAAAGTACAGTTGACTGGCTGAAACTTGAAATGTCACCATTTGATTTGTACTTGCACGTATCAGACTTTGGTTTCACAAAAAAAGATTACGTCCTAGCCCAAACATTCTGCACTTGACAGGTGATGGTGAGGGGTAATGTTCGAACCCGAAACCTTCGAGACGAGTTCAGAGCGCGGACTACTAAATTACTAAACCTGGCAGTCATCCATTTCAAATGCTTTTTTTTTTGTTTTGTTTTTTATGTATTCTAATACAGAATGTCAATAGTGCCCTTTTGTTTTGTGTATTCGTATTTCATTTTTAGGCAGCCCTCCTTATTTGTTTTCGGCCACCACATGGTGTAAGGGACGCTGCATATTCTTTTGTAAAAGATTTTCCCCTTTGTTTCACTATAAACCCGAGAAACACTGTATGCTTTCGCTAGTGTAAGTTCAAGAATAAACTTTATATATTGTAAAAGAGATGGATCTTCGAAGACTTTGAATGGTAAAAATCAAGTTATGATAGCTTCTACAGATATTGCTATTGGGTCTTTATCAACAAAGTGACTTCCCCTTCCCCTTCAGAGTGTAAGTGTATTTCACAAAGCTCCATATACTTTGAGCATTAGCATAAAACCCCGAGGCCCAATGGGGAATAACAGTTAACAAAAACTAGACATACAAGAAACAAAGATGAAAATCTCTATTTAATGTTAACATATCAAAACCGGATAACTATCGATAGCTAGCAATTTGGTGTATCCGGTACATAATACAAAGTGTTGATACGCTATAGACTTTAAAAGGTAAACGATGTATGTATTTATATATATATTTTATCACATTTATCGTATTGCTACACCTCTATCCAGCTTTCTTTCACTTGTGGCACTAAGCAATGTTAATTATAGGCTTATAATTGATATTCCATAAGCGTCCTAAACATAGTCTAAAATGTTATAATATTTCCGATCAATGAAAATATGCCTATTCTTATGTACTCTTTGGGTTACCTTATATTACCCCCCCCCCCCCCCTGGTTCTCTAAACAGTCTCTTTTATTTTATCATGTTGCCAGATTTTATTGCTTAAAGAATCGAAATAGGAATCGAATTGTAAATAGAATCAAAAAAAAAAAAAGGGAGATTACTGTGATACAATCTTTGGTGATATTCTCCCTTACCCATTGTATGTGGAATCCATAAAACCTCAACAAAGAATGCAACTAACATAACAATATGAATATAGGTATTAGTAATTACCAACACCGTGACTAGTTACCTGAGGGCTCCTGGGAAGTAACTCTCACTAAGTGCGCTGAATACCGGAGCAGATGTGTGACTATAGGTGACCCCAGGTTCTGCTTTTATAGACATGGCGAGCATAAGGAAAGTCCGGAAAATGACTTTAGGGATTAAATACTAAAAGAGAGGGGGAGAGAGAGGAGGACTCGAATGACAGAAGACTAAGACGATGAAATGAAAGATATTAATGACATCGTACATTTGTTAGATAACAGTGTTGACATTGAGAGATGCGAGCTGATATAACGGATGCACAGTTTGTTGTTTATAACCTTTTTTTTTTCTCTTTCATTAAAACTGAAAGTTGGCAAGTAATGACTTTCTAGATACTAGTTAGTAGTACACAAACATAGGATTAATAAAATGAGGATTTTAAAAGAATGTAAATTATTTAAAAACAAGATAATTACCTTCACAAGATGAATATCTGTTCAGAAAGATCATTAATTATGTAGGTTTCGCCAAACAATGTTAGCACTCTGATAAACTAACCAGTGTCGGCAATATTGGAATCCCCTATAGGCAACAGAAGCTATTGCTTAGAG